GGAAACCATCATTCTTAGCAAACTATCACAAGAACAGAAAACCAAACACCGCATGTTCTCACTCATAGGTGGGAACTGAACAATGAGATCACTTGGACTCGGGAAGGGGAACATCACACACCGGGGCCTATCATGGGGAGGGGGGAGGGGGGAGGGATTGCATTGGGAGTTATACCTGATGTAAATGACGAGTTGATGGGTGCTGACGAGTTGATGGGTGCAGCACACCAACATGGCACAAGTATACATATGTAACAAACCTGCACGTTATGCACATGTACCCTAGAACTTAAAGTATAATAATAATAATTAATAAATAAATAAAAGAGAGAAAAAAAAAAGAAAGGAATGCAATGATTTCTTAAATTTGAAAATGGAATAGAGATAGCAACAATTTTATAAATATGGATATGAGCTGGAAATAGAATGATATAAATAAAATATAAAAATTTTACATAAGCCTTCCAGAGGCTATATTAGCCAAACATTGTCTCCATGTAAGTTATTAGTTCTCTAAAAATAATTATAGTATAAGTTGATTATTTTTAAAATTTTAATTCATGTAATAGAGCTTACTCTATGCTTAAGTGTTATACAAATTTTCACAATAATCTATGATGTAAGGGCTTTTATTATTGCTTGTTCCTTCCTCAAACATTCATGGTAGTCACTAGAGACGTCCACAAATATTCTGATATTTCTCCCTCTAAGCACATGGTAAGCTGGAAACAAACAAGTTACTTGTTTGGCCACAGAAATATGTGCAGAAGTGGTATCTGTCATTTCCATGAAAAAAAACTGAAATATTTCTGTGTGATTCTCAACATCCCCTTCCCAATGCCTTGATGATTGTAGAAACACTTATCAAGATGGCATTTTCATGAACCTAAGTATCAGAGTAACCAACAGTAAAGCCCACACGCGAAACAGCTAGAGTAAATTTGGAAATAAAAGTGTGTTGAGTGACTGAAAAAAAAAAAAAAGGGGCGCGGTGGCTCACTGTAATCCAGCTTTGGAGGCGAGCGGGCGGATCAAAGGTCAGGAGATCGAGACACGTGAAACCCGTCTCTACTAAAAATACAAAAAATTAGCCCGGCGCGGTTGGGCGCCTGTGTCCAGCTATCGGGAGGCGGGCAGGAGAATGGCGTGAACGGGAGGCGGAGCTTGAGTGAGCCGAGATCGGCCACTGCACTCAGCCTGGGCGACAGAGCGAGACTCCGTCTCAAAAAAAAAAAAAAAAAAAAAAAAAAAAAGAAATAATTTTCCTTCAAAAACAGTGAGCATTTAGATTGACCTGAGGGATTAAATAACCTGGACAACGAACTCCCATGACACAAGTTTACCTATATAACAAATCCTGCACTTGTACCCCTGAACTGAATACAAGAAGAATAATACAATTTTTTTTAATTCAAAAAACCCACAAAAACAATGAGCAGAGCCTCTAAGATGGTACAGCTTTTCAAAAGCTTAAGAGGAGAAAAAAAGACTGCCTTCATTCTCTTTTTGATTTTGACTGTGAAAACTCTTTGACAAACAAAAATACAAACTCCACAGTTTTACCTTTGGATTGGCAGAGAAAAAAAAGTAAGAGAGAAAAACAAAAGTCCAAGAATTAAGCTTCTAGTATTTCCCTGGTAGCTTCTGACTAGCCCAGCTGACCTAAAGTTTATAGATTAATTGGTTCTATGCAAGATATAGAAGATATCAACAAATAATAATTCAAGTGAAGGAGAGAACATTGGAGACCTATGTATAAATAAGGAGATCTAGAAGCCATTCTCATCAGTGGGTAAATCAGAAAAATACAACTTCACCTGTAGAGGGAGATGTTGGAGATGTCCTGACTGTTTCATTTTGGCTATGCATTGAGAGAAAAGAGGAAAGAAAGGAAAGGAAAGGAAAGGAAAGGAAAGGAAAGGAAAGGAAAGGAAAGGAAAGGAGAGGAAAGGAGAGGAGAGGAGAGGAGAGGAAGGAAGGAAGGAGAGGGAAGGAGGGAGGGAGGAAGGAAGGAGAAAGAAAAAGAAAGAAAGAAAGAAGGAAGGAAGGAAGGAAGGAAGGAAAGAAAGAAAGAAAGAAAGAAAGAAAGAAAGAAAGAAAGAAAGAAAGAAAGAAAGAAAGAAAGAAAGAAAGACGGAAGGAGAAAGAAAGGAAGAAGGAAGGAAGTCTCTTCTAAGACTATCTAACCACAAACCATAGTTGCAGCATGTGACCATAAATCCAAGCATGTAATTTACTTTTAAAAAGTTCCAGTGAGGTAGTACATCATGGGGACTGAACAGAACTGAGAAATATTCTCTTCGAAAAAAGCATGTTAAACCCAAATTATTCCTACATATAATGTTCCAAGAAATATTAGCTTATAATGACAAATTTTCCAAAAATATTAAGATGACAAATGATCCAGAATGATCTAAAATAGAAAATAGGTGTGGAATCAAACTCAAGGACACTGGAGATAGCAAAACTATCAAATAAATAATGCAAAGGTAAGCATGCTAAAAATGTTTAAATTACAAAAAGAGAATAGACCGTAAGATTAATTAACAACAACATTGCCATAGTTGACAAGAAAGATTGAAAAAATAAGTAAATAATTCTCATATAATTAAAAAAATACATAGTGATTTTAATTAGAAACTCAATAGATGATTTAAATAGACATAGATGAAGAGAGAACATTAGAAAATAGATATAGATCTGTCTGAAGAAATTACCCCTAATAAAGCACAGAAAAATAAAGACATGGAAAAACAAGAAGATTAAGACACATAAAGAACAAAAAGACCTAACATATACCAAAATTGAGTTTAATATGAAATAATAGGAGAATGTGGAGGGAAGGATTAATAAAGAAGGTAATGTTTGAGTGAGCACGTTCCAAAATTCATGAAAGATAGCAATACTTAAGCAGAGAAGCTAAAGAGTTCTCAAGAAGGATAAATGAAAAGAAGCTGAGATAAATGCATTGTAATGAATACATGTAATTCTAAAACCAAGAGAAGATGGTCAAAATAGTTAGAAAGAAAAGATAGCTTTTTTGAAAGGAAAAACTTTAAAACTATGACTTCACAACAGAGCAATAGAAACTGGAAGACAATAGAATTATTTGTTTTCAAGGTGCCAGGAGGAAAAACTGTCATATTTGTATATACTCAATGTAAGTATCTCAAGAATGAAAATACAATAAAGATACTAACTCACTCTCACTGAAGAAATTCCTTAAAAACAAAATTCAGGATAAAAAATATGACAGATAATTGCTTAAAATGTATAAAAATGTTAGGAAAATATTTGGGCAAATTAAAGCAAACACCAAGTTAATAAAATATAAGCAATGTCTAATTTGTAGGGCTAAAGAAAAACAATAAGAATGTTGTGCAACAATTAAGACACTGAAATTAAGATTCTAAGGTTCTTGCATTTTTCATGAGGTGGATAAAGATATGTGATTAGGGCCGGGGCCGCGGTGGCTCACGCCTGTAATCCCAGCACTTTGGGAGGCCGAGGCAGGGGGATCATGAAGTCAGGAGATCGAGACCATCCTGGCTAACACGGTGAACCCCGTCTCTACTAAAAATCCAAAAAGTAGCCAAGCTTGGTGACGGGTGCCTGTAGTCCCAGCTACTCAGGAGGCTGAGAAAGGAGAATGGTGTGAACCCGGGAGGCCGAACTTGCCGTTAGCCGAGATCCCACCACTGCACTCCAACCTGGGCGACAGAGCGAGACTCTGTCTCAAAACCAAAAACCAAAAACCAAAAAAGATATATGATTAACTTTAGTCTTTTGAAAGTTAGGCAAGCATATAACCACAAAATGAATATAAATAGTTTCTATAACTTTCAATCTTCTTGGAGACAAAATAGAACGAGGTAATAAAACAAAACAAACAACACAAAACTCAATTCAAATAAAGCAAGAAAATAAGAAAACAAAAGCATAGAAAAAGCCTAATAGAGGCATTGAAATAAGGTAGCAGAAATAAACCCAAATATACCAACATATTCATATCAATATATTTATACACAATAAATATAAATACATTATTTAGTTAAAAGACCAAAATAATCTGGACTTGTTTATGCAAGACATGTATAAAGTATAAGATAACAAAATAGTTGAAAGCAAAAGGATTGAAAAGATGTGGCAAGAAAATGCTCACCAAAAAACTCACGTAACTATACTATAAGACAGAATATAAATTAAGTTAAAAAGCAATATTGGACACAAACATATAACCATACATGCACAGTTTCTACGTAATGTCTAGGAGGTAAATTCAACTGGATGATATAACAATTCTAAACTTATTTTTATCTAGCTGAAAGCTATGCAAAACCAAAAGTATGAGGAGAATCAGACACATGTACTATCATAGTAGGTAATTTGAACACGCTTTTTAAATTAATAAATGAACTAAACAGAAAAATCAGGAACTGTAATGAAGATCTGAAAAAAATAATTACATCAGATAAGGTAACAAGCCTCAAAATCTCATTGACTCCTAATTGGTGAACCACTCTTCTCCAAGCAGTGATTCAAGGGTGCAGCCTTCCTTCTTGTTACTCTCTCTATATATTTATGTGTTTGTTTACATATATATCATTATATACACACGTACAAACATATATACACACAACATCACCTGTAGTAAAAATTGTAATAAAAAGCAAAGAAATAACTTCAAAATTCAGGGTAAGGGAATCATTGGAGGAAGGGAGGGTAAGAGTTTACAGAAAGGCACACTGGGAGCTACAATAGTTTTTTTCATGTATTTTATGTTCTCTTTATAAGCTTTACTTTGGGCATACAGTGTGATTTTTACTATCGTCCTTTAAATCAAAGATATAACTTATATAAACCCTTATTTTTTATATATTTTGAAATGATTTTAAATAACAAAAACCACACACAATACCTCAAGAGAGCATTCTACCACATCCTTTTTCAAGTCCATTTTTTGAGTCCACACAAGAAAAGAAATAAAACAAAGTGTTTTCAATCCTTTATTTCACCTACTTCTCCCAAGAAGTGGAGTGCAGATTAACTTTTTGTTCCGTGGTGAGTTTCTCAGACATAAATTATTTCTCCCCTCAATATGCAAAGGAGAATCTATCTGTCTGTGAGGATTGTATTTACCTGTGATCTTCAAGAGCTGGGTATTTTAATCTGATTTAAGGCAACTTTCTTCCTTTCAAAATAGCACCATCCAATCTAGAAGTCAGAATGGGAGGTTGATAATTAGCCATATTTGGCATGAAGGTACCTACATAATGATTGCATTTTAACAGGAAGTGTGGGCTGATTCTCAACCTCAATCTTTCTCATCCATAAAATCACTAAGTTCTTTGAGATTTCTAGTCTGTAGCAATGGAAATGTAGCCCCTCTACTCAGCATTCACCAGGTGACAGGGGAATATTGTAATATAAGTCACTCTCCTCACCGAGGCCTGGGATGTATCACGGTTTTCAAGTAGCTTTATTTGTCCCTTCCTGACCCTGGCTGCCTGAGGAGAGAAAGCTTTGGGTATAGACTGACCTGACTCTTGGAGGACTAGTGAAGCTTGTCTTTTTAACCTCTTCCTATCTTCCTGAGTGCAAGCAGGCCATATTTCCCATTACTAATTTTGTGTTCTCCTCATGAGTAAAATATACAATGATAAGTCCATCTTTCCCCAAAGAACAAATAAAAAAAATAAGGGCTTAAGGACTGCCTTAAAGTATTTGCAGCTCTTTTGGAAATGTTCCTCCTCTGAGGCTGAGAAGCGTTCTCCTCAACTTTCAGGATGACTCCTAGATTCTGCATCAAGTCAGCAGTCAGTTACAAATTTAGTGGGTGTGCGTACTTGGCAGTATATCTGCATCCCCGCACCTTTTTAGCCCACTCTCAGGAAAGGCAGGAAAGGCTGCTCAAACCTGACTTCCAAAAAGCCTCCAGAGTGGCAACTGCTATAAAAAGTTTCAAAATCCCCAAATTGGCAGGGTCTAGTCTGGTGACACAGAAATCACCATCTGTGCCTGGCTTTCCTCCTGCATGGAGAAAGGGACTCTCTTTCTCCTCCTCCTTTTTCTTTACCCTATCTTCTGAGGGATAAGTTCAGACAGGGTGGGCTTGGTGACTAGCATGCTACTCACTTTTGTTCCTGCTCTCACGTGTTGAAAATGAACCTGAACCATGCCTCCGGAATCTAAAACCCCTGAGATGAGGGTTCTCTGGGTTGTGGGATCTAATTTAGTTTTAAATGAAGACCTTTTTCCCCAGCCTTCTGGCGGTGTTCTCTGGTTTTTACTGCTCCGCAAACCCTAGACTCAGATAGCCCACCACAATTACCGAAGTTGTTTGCTTGATACACAATATTTCCTGGTCTGTTCCAGCTACTATAACAAACTACCATGAACTGAGTGGCTTATAAACAAGGATATTTATTTCTCACAGTTCTGGAGTCTGGGAAGTGCAAGATCAAGGTTCCAGGGGATTCAGTGTCCGTGTAAGGGCCAGTCCCCTGGTTCCTAGATGGCACCTTCTCCTTACATTCTCACATGGTAAAAGTACAAAGGAGCTTTCTGGAGCATCTTTTATTAAGACACTAATTCCTCATGACCTTATACTAGGGCAAAGCCGTCATGACCTAATCACCCCCCAAAGGCCTCACCTCCTAATACCATCACGTTGAGGGTTAGGATTTCAACATAAGAATTTGGTGAGAAAAGAAACATTCAGTCCATTAGTCCATTGTACACAAATTCTTTTTTTTTTTTTTTAATTTTAGACAGAGTCTGACTCTGTCACCAAGGCTGGGGTGCAGTGGTACAATCTCAGCTCACTGCAACCTCTGCCTCCCAGGCTCAAGCAATTCTCCAGCCTCAGCCTCCCAAGCAGCTGGGCTTACAGGCATGTGCCACCACGCCCGGCTAATTTTTGTATTTTTAGTAGAGACGGGGTTTTGCCATGTTGGCCAGGCTGATCTCAAACTCCTGACCTCAATTAATCTGCCCGCCTCGAGCTCCCAAAGTGTTGGGATTACAAGTGTGAGCCACCATGCCCAGCTAACATTATATTAAAGACTGCCTCTTTAGCACTCATTTCTTAGTGTTCGTCAATTTTTGGTTTCCAGTGTCTGTTATTGGTGTAGCATATTAGTAATGAATCCTGGCTAAGATTCCAATGCTTTTTCCCTGCTGTGGCATTTTCTTCTGACTTGAAACCATTCATTTCTAGCAAGACACAGCTTGTGCAGAGGTGAAACAGCCTATATAACTGCTTAACAGTACATCCAGGCTTGGGGCATGAGCATGATTATACCCCCAGAGTTTCGGCAATATTGTTCACCACATTTTTGTCCCTCTCCAGGGACAGAGATCATTTTTTGAACGTTCGAGGCTTCTATCTTCTTCTTTGGTTTTCCTTTCTGTGTTATGTTTGAGATTCACAGAGAAATTAATCTTCCCAGAAGCCTTTTTAAGTTTACTATTTAGTTGTTTAATTTCCCTGACTCTCCTGTTACCTATGCTTTACCTGCTCAGGGTTTTTTAAAACTACCTAAAATATACCTTTGGAGTTAATCTCATGATAGTTCACTTTTATTTGCCAAATCAGTAGTAACTTTGGAAGTTCCACATACAACCTGCAAACTAATTTTCCAAAAGGTTCACAGATGGCTTAAAATTGAGGTTAGCTTCAAATTCAAGGATTGTAATCAGCACATAGTGCACATAGATACACTACACAGCCGTTCTTAGCAATTCTAGAAATGATACCACATTTAGCAGGTTTAAATCTTACTTCCTAGAAACCTGGTATAAAATAAATGTCACATTTATTTTATAGAACCAGAAATTACCAGCACACCATGATCATTAGTCTATAGGCAAAGTATTTATTCCTGTAATGTTGTAGGAAACTGTTGACCATATTATTAAGTGTGAAATGTGACTCTGACTTCAATAAATTTAAGACACAGTTGATACTTAAAAAATAATTTCAAATTTCAAACTATTACCTATTACATGAATTTGTGAAAGACTACAGACATTCTGCAGCATAGACTATCTTCTCTGGTTATATAAATAAAACAGAACTTGCATGACCTTATATACTTGCTCGACTTTTTTTGTGTTTAGTTACATATCTTTATCAATCCATTTATTTATACATTTAAATGGTATGTGTGTGGGTATGTGTGTGTATGCCAGATAGAAATATACAGAGATAAACTGTCTGAATGTGTATAGTTCTTTATAGCCATAGCAGAGGAATATAATACTTAAAAGTTTGGAAAAGTGATCACCACTAGCTAAAATCACATTTCAAACTATATTTAAATTAACACTACTTAAATAAGTTTCCACGGTACTTCATCCACAGGGTGGGTGAAAATTTAATTTCAAATAATATGCATATCCCCTCTTTTTCTTTGGGTTAGGCAATTGGAACAGTTTACCTGAGGCTCAGAGAAAAGGTGGAAGGGCTTTTAGTCTTTAACCCATCATGGTTACACACCATTCACATAGTTAAAACCCATATCCATCTTTCAGTAGTCAGTGGCTTTGTCTGTTCTGTGCAAGACTGGTGCAGGATAATCTTTTCAAAGGCTGGAACTTTATTTTCTTGTATGCATCCTCATTTAATGAACCATAGCATGGAGCCCTTGACTGCTCCTCTGAGTGCTGTGGGAGATAAGAGTGGTAGATGTTGGCACAAGTATACAATATTCAAGGTAACTTACAGTTTCCATGCCTTTCTATTATAAAACAATTTCTCTTCAATTTTGTTGCCCTAAAACAAAAGCAAAACAGTACTCTTACACTATCTCTCCTCCGTAGACACTGAATAATCAGAGATGTCTCCTTACATGAGATTAGCCTTTTTAAGAAAGCACTTTTTAAAAATCTAGCACTTTCTTCTTTTGTGTCTCTGTAAATGCATTAATTAATCCATTCAAAATGCATTAATTAATGAATTCCACAATAGCTATCAGATACTGTTCTAGGAACTGAAAATACTATAGTAATCAAAACAAAGTATCTCATGGAATGCACATTTTATCAGAAAGAACTTAGGCATTAAGTAAATGAATAAATAAACATCAAATATGTCAGGTAATATAAGTGCTATGAAAATGAGTAAAGTGAGTTAGGGTGTTTTGTTGTTGGAGTGAGTAGTGGAAGCTCTTTCTATTAAGTCAAGAGATCAGGGAAAGTGCTTGCTATAAGGTATTAATATTTGGGCAGAGAGCTGATGATGGGAAGAGTCAAGCCATATGACTATTTCTGGGAGGATATTTCCAGCAAAGGGAAGAGTATTTGTAAAGACCCTGAGATAAGCGTGTGATTAACTGATTCAAGAAAGAGCCAGGGACAGTTTGGCTGGGATTTACTTATAAATGCAGGGTGGGAAAAGCTCAAAGCAGGACATAATGATAAACCTGTGACCTTATGCATTAGATTCTCTTCATAAAAGTGAGTTTTAAGTTGGCTATAGGTGCTCATTGGCAGGTCTGGCTTCCAGAGTTAGCTGGCTATCTCTTCAAGGGAAAGAAAGAAGTGTAGCTGACAGTTTTCTCTCCATATCTTGCAAATCAATTGCCAATGATTATGGGTTGTAATAGGAATTTTTTTTACAAGAACAATACAGTTGGATACAATATAAGAACTGCCGTTTAATCAAATCCATTTTGTAATGCAACTTACTTTCTAGTTTTTCTTCAAGTTTTTATTAAAATGTAATATAACTTTCACTTAACATTATACAATATTTATTTTTTCTTTTTTTTTTTCCTCCATGTTTCCCAGCTCCTCTCCAACCTGAATCCCAACCTCAGGTAACCTATAGCTTAGTGTAAGTCTTTACATACGTTTCTCCATATTACACAAATACAAACATACATATAAAAATGTATTACATTTCTGTTTTATGTCATTTATTTGTAGAAAGATAGCATTAAAAGGCATCTAATTTTTTTGGTAACAACTTTTCTTCATTGACATTGCACCGTGGAAATCCATCCAGGTCTTTTTAATAGCTGCATTATAGTTATGTCAGTTTCCATATTTGTGGCACTTCCAGTGATGAAAAAAACATAATACGCATATTCTATACTAGCACCTTCACTCCTTTTGTATATGTATTACAGTAATACAAAGGATATGCTTAGTTTTTATCTTGGAAGATATTGTTAGCTTATCTTTCAAGTGGACCATAGTAATTTATGTCCTTGCTAGTACTGGATTTTAACATGTGTTTGTTTGTGCCAACGAGACAAGTAAAAATTGATATATCATTGTTGCATTAATTTTTATTTTGTTTTTGTATGTTTGGTTATTTGAACTTTGCTCCTTTATATATTGCCTCTTTATCTCTTCTGAGCATTTTTGTGCTTGGGGTGTAATTCTTTCTTATCAGTTTGAAATAGCTTTTTGTATATTTTGGCCTATTAATTTTTAGGTGATTGCACTGTATGGCAAATATTTCACCGTTTACCACTTGCTAATGATATCTTTTGCTATGAAAATATGTATAATTTTATTCAGTTCTATTTATATCTTTTATTTTATAGATTCTGATTTAAATTTTTTAAAATATTACTGTGTTAGTTGTTACAAGAATAATTAAGTATTCATTGCAAAATACATGAAACTACAGAAACATATTATGAAGGAAATAATAATTACAAATCATGATACCAGCCCCCCAGAAAGTTAACATTTTAATGCATAATGTCCCAAAGTATGTAAAGATAAATGTATACATATAAGCATTTCACATGTATATCTGTTTTTGAACAAAAATGAAATTAGACTTCATGTTTTGTAAGTGTGCATTTTATTCTTTTAATGTGTTATAATCACAATTCCTTATCCATGCCATTAAATATCTACCAACGCAATCCGTCAACATGTTATTTGACTTTAGGAATAATATATGATCCATTAAAAACCACAAAATTCATGTGCATGAAGAAGGTTTCTGTTATTGTGGCATTTTTAAGATGTGTAACTATTATTCCTTTAGCAAAAAATGTTGTGCTTGTTCCTATTTATTTTCTTAGGATGAAACCCTAAAAGGATAATTATCATATTTAACGTTAAGGGTAATTTTAATGATTTTGAAAGATTTTGATACCTAATGAAAAACTGACCTTCAGAAAGGCTACAGTGGTGTATACTGAAGTAGCAATAAATGGCATACCCTTGGATCCACATACTCATTAATACTGACTTAAAACAATGTTATTCTATTAATCTAGTGATGAACAAAAGTCAGGTGAAACTTGCAGTTAAGCATATGGAATTGTTCATATTTTATTAAAAAGATTATGCTAACAAAGAAAAAGAACACAAATAATATACTAGTGATGTCATCGGTGCTGTTGTGGTTGATTTTGTTAATGTGGAGACTAAGAAAGGCTCAAGAAAAAAAATGAAACCTGTTAAATATCTCACCATCATACATTTTACTGTTGTTTTTCTTATCTGAATGAAGACAGAAAAGTCAAATACCTTTCAATTATTTAAAGAAAAACACAAGAAGGTTAAAAATAAAACACATAAATTCCAAATCACTTGGCTAGAATATAATTTTTTAAATGTTGATAACCGTAGCAAAAGTCATAAAAGAAAAAAAAAAAGAGAATTATGACCAGGAAGCAAATAAAAACTATAAATAAGTAAGGACAACATGAATTCAATAAGTATCAATGTGAAAATTTCCTTCTTTAAAACATTCTCATTATGTGTAAAAAGTGTCCAGCTATATTTCCTTTTTCTTTCTAAAAAGTATACTGAGGCAATGTATTTCTTACAGTCTCTTGCTCTTGCTCTCTTTGGTTAACAGAACTTCCCTCAATGCCTGAGTTTCAAAAGACCTTGGTAAATTATGTGCCATAGACCTGTGACTCTTTAACACTCATTCTCACAGTTTTATCTTTCTTAGGAGGTGGGAAAAAAATATGAATACAACAAAGTGTAACTGTTAACTATTTTTCCCAAGAAAACTTTGCCAAAATATGTATATACTTTTCTCAGAAATATAAATTTCATATAATTACAGTAAAATGGAGCATGCAGTGATTACAAAGTTCCAGTGAAAAAATTTGGTTCAAAAATTTGATCGACTTACTTTTACTGCTCATACTGAAGGACATGGAAATACTACCATGAAACCTGTTTTAATTCGGTAATAGAGTTATAATGAAATGCTTTTCGGGACAGGTTTTAAAATATTTTGAACATTACTTCCCTTTGAGGAGGTGATTCATTTGGCGGTAAAACCCTCTCTCTACTGCTCCATAAAATGTGGAGGAACCAATTAGCAGAGTTTTGAAAGAGTCCCTTGCATAAGAAGACAGCAGAAACCAAAATGATAATATATGAAAATTATGAAATAGTGTTTTAAGAAGAAAACAGTAATAGAAAAGTGTTTTTATTTTATCTCTAGGTATATTTTATCCTAAAATTTCTGCCCCAGAAATTAGGCCTAACCTAAAGAAGAAATCTACTCTTGACTTTGGCATACACCTAAACTACTCGCTGAGAAGGATATGGCAAAAGAAGTTCACACATTCAGGACCTCATCAGACTTTATGCAACTGAGTTGTTCAGCTCATATTCCTCAGATTTGTTGGAGCTAAAGAGCACTCCAAAATGAAGTGAAGAGAGAGAAAAATAATGGAGTGAAGAGAATCTAAGAATTTATCGTTTCTTTTACCTGTCCATTCTCTGCTTGTCCCAGGAAACAAAGGGGTTGTCCCTCCTGACGGATAGTGTGAGCTGTAGAGAGGTTGTCATAAATGTCTAAGAAATAAAGGATCCTTGGAATTTGGCATTTCCAATTATTTTTGTCTCACATTTCCTGGGATGCGAGAGATATTGCAGAGTGGGATAAGGGTGCGGATAACAGCTTGAAATTTGTTCCTTCCACCCTTGGTTCTGTTACAGAAAATTCTGAAGTTGATCAGCATTTAGGGATCATCTAGGTGGCATGCAGAAGCAAATCAAATAGACTGAGAGTAGGAGACAACGTTCCTACATTTGTGATAGAAAATAAAACCTGACATGGGGAAGGTTATGGGCCATCTACAATGGAAGATTCTCAGTTGACTTGGTAATCAAAAAGATAACTACCTAAAGCAATAGAGAAAGCCCTCTACGTTTCAACTTGGAAATGATAAAGAATTCTAATCCAGAAAGAGGATAAAATTCAATAGTTTAGATATGGGTTAGATGTGGGAGAGTGAGAGAATAGAACTGAGACAAACAAACAAAAAATGCCCTGACTCCCTGAAATCTTCCTCTGTTTGTAGGAATAGCTAACAAAAAGAAGCCTAAAGACAATAAAAGTTAAAATTCTATGCTTACACACATCTTACGTTATCACTTTCAACCACGAGTAACTGTTTAATATGTGTGACTTAATCTTTCTGTTTTTACAGATAAGGACGTGTAATTTCTGAAACAGGGCAGGGACCTTGAAACTGTGAGTTGAACAAATGCATAAACTAATTAAGTTAAAATTAGTGCTGTGAGGCTCAGTCTCAAAAAAATTATTTTCTATGTGTTAAAGTCACCTTCTAAATACATAATTAAACATAATTAATTCCAATATGAAACTCTCATTGATAAAAGAATAGGAAAAATCTTTGTGGAACTTTATTTTCAAGGTTGAATGT